TGTTTGGCAGTGGTCGGAGGTCCTTAAGTTACATTGTTTAGCTGTGGTACGGGGATCCATTAGTTACATTGTTTGGCTGTGGTACAGGGATCCTTAAGTTACATTGTTTGGCAGTGGTACAGGGATCCTTAAGTTACATTGTTTGGCAGTGGTACGGGGATCCTTCAGTTACATTGTTTGGCTGTGGTACGGGGATCCTTAAGTTACATTGTTTAGCCGTGGTACGGGGATCCTTAAGTTACATTGTTTGGCTATGGTACGGGGATCCTTAAGTTACATTGTTTGGCTATGGTACGGGGATCCTTAAGTTACATTGTTTGGCTATGGTACGGGGATCCTTAAGTTACATTGTTTGGCTATGGTACGGGGATCCTTAAGTTACATTGTTTGGCTATGGTACGCGGATCCTTAAGTTACATTGTTTGGCAGTGGTACGGGGATCCTTAAGTTATATTGTTTGGCAGTGGTCGGAGATCCTTAAGTTACATTGTTTAGCTGTGGTACGTGGATCCTTAAGTTACATTGTTTGGCAGTGGTACGGGGATCCTTATGTTACATTGTTTAGCTGTGGTACGGGGATCCTTCAGTTACATTGTTTAGCTGTTGTACGGGGATCCTTAAGTTACATTGTTTGGCAGTGGTCGGAGATCCTTAAGATACATTGTTTAGCTGTGGTACGGGGATCCTTCAGTTACATTGTTTAGCTGTGGTACGGGGATCCTTCAGTTACATTGTTTAGCTGTGCTACGGGGATCCTTAAGTTACATTGTTTAGCTGTGGTACGGGGATCCATTAGTTACATTGTTTGGCTGTGGTACAGGGATCCTTCAGTTACATGGTTCGGCTGTGGTATGGGGATCCTTAAGTTACATTGTTTAGCTGTGGTACGTGGATCCTTAAGTTACATTGTTTAGCTGTGGTACGGGGATCCTTAAGTTAACTCCATATATATATTTATGTCAATGTAATCATCTACAAGGAACATTAAATGTTGACATATATACAAAAGTTGTCCACAATCAGGCTCTGATTTATTCATGCTATTAAAGTCTATATTTAATAACTAGTTTCCTAAATTGACCACAAGATGGCCGATATGACAGCTATCGTAACAATAAATAATAAAAGATAATATCCTGTGTTCTTCCCTGTAAATTAAAAGATGTTTTCGATTTCCTTACAGAAGTAATTACCATATGACATCAAAGCTTGCACAACAATTTTCTCAACAAAATGTTGCTAAACATGGTGGAAAAGGAAGGAGGATTTTGAATAAGATTCTCGAAAAAAATGATTTCAAGGTTAAGTATTCCAATACATTAAACACTATTATTACATGATAATTGTCACTATTGAGAAACATTTTTTAAGACCTGCCATACATTTTACAGAATTGTAGTTGTTCAAAACTTGAATGTTTGAAAATAGAAACAATAAAATTGAAAAATAGAAAACTGCAGGAGTCAAGCTCAGAACCTTTACATTACAAAGCCTACACTTTATCAATGTTGCTATTCAGGAATTATGGAAGAAAAACATCAAAATAAGTGTTCAATTTATGGACCACAAAGAAAATGAAAAACTTCACAGGGGAACTTACTCTACGCCAGAAAAACTCCTTTTGGTTGTTTTATTTTCTACATAGAAAGTCGATAAACTCTAACTCAACTTATAACAGATGCAATGCTAGCCTTTACCTTAAAAATAAAGTTTTTTTCAAAATACTGATATCAATATTAACTAGAAATTTGTTTTTGTGAACAAAAACATATGTCTCCCCTTATTAGCCAATATGCATATTTGGAAGAATAGAAAGGTCACATCAAGATTAAGGTGTGTAATCTCTAAACCAATAAACTTTTAAATTATTTTGGTTCATGTTGTATTGTCTTAACAATTTTGGTTATGTTTCGGCAGCTACGGTACTAAAGAAACAAACTTAGGTATAAAAAATTAACAAAGGGTCATATCTCTTTATATAGTGGGGCACGAGATCCGATTTTAGAATGTGACACTCCTACTTCTTAAGATACATAACTATAGCAAGTTTGGTCAACGTAGGTGAAATAACATGGAAGTTATGCTGTGGACAAACTTCGGTATTAAAAATAAACAAAGGGCCATAACTCTGTATATAGTGGGCACACAACCCGATTTCAATTAGAGAGATTCTGACTTCCCAAGATATATAAATATGGTAAGTTTGGTCAACCTTGGTGAAATAACATGGAAGTTATGCTCCGGACAAACTTTGGTGTTAAAAATAAACAAAGGGCCATAACTCTGTATACAGTGGAGCAAGAGACTTAATTCCAGTGCACTGCACAACATCCGTGGGTGATGCAGGCATATTTTAAGTTTGATCAAGATATCTTTAACGGTTTAAAATTTACAGACCAGACAAGAATTTACTGAAAATGTTGCACTTATTCGACCTTTGACTTTGAGGTGAAGGTCACAGTGACCAAATTCGAATGCACTGCATACTTTCTATGGGTGATGCAGGCACACTTCAAGTTTCATCAAGATATCTTCAACGGTTTAAAATTTATGGCCTGGACAAGTAGCGATTAGAAGAACCAGAAGAAGAACCAGAAGAAGAACCAGTACTAATACAATATGTCTCCCTTCATTCGTATGGGAGATATAACAAGAGGTAAACAACCCGTCATTTCTTTAAATAGATACAACAGCAAATATCACTGATATTGTTTATCTATTGTGTAAAAATCCAATATAGTGTGATTCTTAATTTTCCAGATAAAAGGTTGGTTTCATGTTTTAATCTTATTTCATGATTAACACCTGTGACCCAAAGCTTATAATAACAGATTTGTTTAGGAAGTATCATTAGCTGTTTATTGAATTGAAGTACAAAACTGTGACAATGGTGACAGAAAACCCTTTATTCTAACATTATCATTCTCACAAGTAAGGCAGCTACAGGCATTGATGGTCTCCATCAAAGAGATTTATGTCCAGTTATAGGATATCAAACTTTGATGTGCAACATGTGAGGATAGAAACATTACAATCAGCAACATTTTTACCTTGATGACATGAAAGTGGTTACCTTAGTGATACTGTACTAGGTTGTTACCTTGGTGATACTGTACCAGGTTGTTACCTTGGTGATACTGTACCAGGCTGTTACCTTGGTGACACTGCACTAGGTTGTTACCTTGGTGATACCGTACCAGGTTGTTACCTTGGTGATGCTGTACCAGGTTGTTACCTTGGTGAGGGGGTACAAGGTTGTTACCTTGGTGATACTGTATCAGGTTGTTACCTTGGTGACACTATACCAGGTTGTTACCTTGGTGATATTGTACTAGGTTGTTACCTTGGTGATACAGTACCAGGTTGTTACCTTGGTGACTCTGTACCAGGTTGTTACCTTGGTGGTACTGTACCAGGTTGTTACCTTGCTGACACTATACCAGGTTGTTACCTTGGTGATATTGTACTAGGTTGTTACCTTGGTGACACAATATCAGATTGTTACCATGGTGACACTGTACTAGGTTGTTACCTTGGTGACACTATACTAGGTTGTTACCTTGGTGACACTGTACCAGGTTGTTACCTTGGTGATACTGTACTAGGTTGTTACCTTGGTAACACTGTACCAGGTTGTTATCTTGGTGATACTGTACCAGGTTGTTACCTTGGTGATACTGTACTAGGTTGTTACCTTGGTGACACTGTACCAGGTTGTTACCTTGGTGATACTGTAC